CACATCCACACAATCAAAGCAGCTGTAAAAAGAATAAGTAAACTTTTGTATACTTTACGTGGAATAATCTCTAAGATAAATTAAAAAACAAAGAGAGGGGGAAAAATGTGTATTTGGTTACCTATGGGGAGGAATGGGAACTGGACAAATTGGGAACAAAAATAGAAAGGAATCTTTTTATATTTTTTTAACCATGTGCATATATTACCCATTATAAAAAGCTACATGGTTCAGGTTCTGAAGACAATTTTTAAGAACTCTAAAAAATTTTGAGCAGTGACATAATTACTGTGTGACCTCTCATGATCAAAGTTAAGATTTTTGTTCATAATTTGTACCCTGGAACCTGTCCCCTTCTCACTTCAGCAATAAAAGTAATACAGGTTCACTGTGAATGGTTTGTAAGAAATAAATTTTAGTTTTCCTGACACTTTTCAGATCTTGTAGAATTTTTTTCTATATTTTCCCACTCAATAAAATAAATTTTATTCCTACCCAATAAAATTGTAATACAGATTACATATTTATAGTGGATATATGTTCACTGTGTTCAGAGCATTGGTGATGAACCCTTTCTCTCCCAGGTGAGGGCTCTCAATTACAGTGCGCCATCCACAGAGGAGGGCAAGCAACCCATCTCCCTCTCTACAGTGAGCCAGTGGTTCACAGAAGGCTACACAGACATCAGCTGGGTCACTAAAAGTCCTTCCTAGGGCTTTGCTGTTAGCTCTAGCAAGGAACACCTTTTTGGCTTTGGGTTATAATGCTAGGAAGATGCTGCATTACATCTTGTGAAGGCAATTATGCCAACACAGTGAGGAAAGCAGACCAGGAAGAGAGACAGAAACAGAAAAAAGACCCACTACCATCATCTGAGCCATGAATCCAGCCATATTTCTACTTCCTGGTGATGTAAACCAACACATGCTCTTTTTAGTTTAAGCTTGTTTGACATATATTCCTTTTATGCCCAAGAGTCCTGACAAATACAACTGATCAAAAGTTTTTCATATCATGAAATATTGTTTAGTAGCATGGTTTGAAGTGCCAACATAGCATTCCACCCCACGGATATATGATAATTCATCTATAACCTTATTAATATCAATAGTATTTCCCTCCTATTGATAACTTGGAGTTGTTTCCAATTATTTACAATTAAACATGTTAAGTTTCTTTTAAAAGCCTCAGCTGTACAATCAAATTTCATCTTCATGAAGTCTATGGGCAACTCCAAATGTGTGTGCAACATAGAAAACACTGGCCTAGACCACAAACAGTATATTGTTTGAAAATCTGTACATTTTGTCAAATATTAACTTACGGGGACAAGAGTCTCAGAGTGAAATAACCTTTAACATCAAAGCTCTCATATTGCACAATGATAAGTGATAGTCCTTATACCAAATACACAAATTCCTAGAATCATTCTTTTGCCCTTGTTCTTATATTGCCACTTCTTTTTCAAAGGAGATTACATATTTTTTGTAGTAATTCAAAATTATTTTTTAAAAAATAGTAGTGTTAGTTTTTAATTTGTTAAACTATGTTCTAGGGTTTTTTTATAACATGAGAAAATAAAGTTCAAGCCATCATTTGCTGATCTTGTTAAAATGGTAACGAAGTAAGAGATTCCATAAAGATATCCTATAGTTAAGACTGACACCTCTCCTTCCCAAAAAGCAAAGAACAAGTAAATATTCAGGGCATTAAAATATACTAAGTATTAGTATATAGTATAAGTATACTATATATACTAAGACCAAAAAAACCCACAACACTATTAAACACTCATTCACTGATCACAGCTATGAGCTTGACTAGGGTAATATAAGACTCACAGATTGGTAATACATTTAACCAAGGGGAATTACTCTACCTTTTGGACAATTTTTTTTGCTTGCAATACATTAAACTCAAATATACCGTGCCCTATCACAGGATCTACTCAAGGATAGATTGTTGGAATGAAGTCAGTCTGTCCTAACTCCTTTCTAAAAAGATTACTAGAAATACAAAGCAACTTCATGCTAGAATGGCTGGACGGTGGAATTGCAATAGTTAACTTACCAATAACCTTATTTACTTAACGAATGGCAGTAGAGTTATTATTTAGTATTATTAGACCAGAAAATAATCAAGACATTTACCAGTATCATCTCCTACTTCTCCATTTAATGCTACATAAATTCCTATGCTTAGATAATGCCTGCATCTGCCTCTAATAAAAAAATAAAATAGGTCTTAGAAATAAGAGCTCAAGCAAATTAATTTCTTTCACGCTTGCTTCTTTTTTTTAAACTAAGTTGGTTCTCTTTTCTTCTCGATCTTGGGCATAAACCATTATTTACTTCCTTAGATAAAAACAGTATAGTTTTAGAAACAGATTTTTACTTTGCCTGGTGGTATCCTAACTACCTATTTCCACTAGATGGGACAAGTACAAAAAATGATTTAGGGTATTAAAATTTATCAATAGACAACCTACAAAAGATATGCTGAACATATCTGTGGTCAGAAATACTCATGGCTTTAGTTAACATTTTGACTAAAATGAAGTGATGGCAAATTTTCCCACAAATCATACATTTCTTTTAATAAAAAAGAAATTTCCCTAAAAGAGCAAGTCAATTCTTTGGACTCTTTAAATCGCAAGAAACAACAAGACTCAGGCAAATAACTATGAAAAAACCCCCAATAACTTCTCTTCTGACAACATGTAAGCATGAAATGGCAACCAGCTTCCCTCAATATTTTTTTAAAATATTTTATTTTTAAGTAATCTCTATACCCAACGTGCGGCTTCAGTTTACAATCCTGAAATCGACAGTCCCATGCCCTACTAACTGAGCCAGCTATGTGCTCCCCCGCCCCACCTTAATCTTTCTTTTAAGGAGGCACCATGCCCAGTGTGGAGCCCAACACCCCAACACACGCGGGGCTTGAACTCGCAACCCTGAGATCAAAACCTGAGCTGAGATCAAGAGTTCATGCTTAACCGACTGAGCCACATAGGCACTCCTAATTTTTTTTTTTTTAACATACAGTGGTTTAAGGAAATTAACTAAGAAAGCATAAAATAAATTACTAAATAAATTTTATGCCATCAAAAGACTAACTCATAGTAAACAAAGCATAAAAGCTTTCACTACTTGATACAGGATTGAGAAGGCAGAATGATACCTATGTAAGAGATATGGGGGGAGGGAGGACTATTTAACAGAATGCTGTGGGGGAAGAATTCATTTAATTATGTACCAGTGTAAAATCTTACTTTTTTTGGTTAAGAAAATATAAGTCAAAACAACTATGTATTTGGCTTTGTATTGTACTGCATTATAGTGTAGGCTCTAAAGAGCTGGGAAAACCTAGCCAAGTTAAACAATATATGTTTAACAATAGAATTCTTGTGAAAACTGAGCACCACATGGGACAGTAAAATTCTCATTTTATGCCTCAGTGTAGGCGATTCCTACACCGCAATTTCAATGATGATCTTCAAGTTTATCACAGTGCTAATAAGTCATGTACTCAATAAACTATAGGAAAGATAAGCAGAAACATTTAAAAACAAAAATAAAAAACAGACATATTTAAAAGAGACACTTCTACAGTTATTAAAATACCTGTAATATAAATAAATGTACAAATAAAAATGCACATGATATCACAACTAATACATTCTTAATGCACTTAATGTGCTGCCTACAACTGACTTGGTTTACACAAACTGAAACGTAAAGCAGAGATCAAAACTATTAGCAAAACTCTCCATTCAAGTTTAAGAATGATTAAAACCTCTACTATGATTTTCAGGTAACAGCAAGCATTTCCCTCTACCTTTTGCAAAGGTGCTTTCATTTAAAATAGAAAAATTAATTGTAAATTACTATACAAAGAAGTTTTACACGAATTCAAAACAATATATTAATGTCTACTCACGAATATCTGGCACTTAAAATATAAAATAAGTCAGATTTCCCTAAACATCTACTTCATAACTTTAGGATAATGCAGCATCACTATCATATGCAGGAACCATGCAACAACAACAAAAAAATTGGTGCTAATTCTTGGTCCGGATAATTTTCCTTAGTTCACACACAGATACTGTTTCTGAACAGCAACCTGTAATGGTAGTGAATTATTTTTGAAAACCTGTAAATCCGTTGATAAGTTAAACCATGAATCTTCACAGACCACCATTCAGCTACATAAATTTGTTCATTGTTATATGGTTGATATTTTTAACTTTGAATACTAGGAAACCTCTCAGTCAAGAAAAAAATCCATTGGGTCAATCCCCTTATCCCCACCTCCCCCACACACCAAAACAAACAGAAAAACCCCCAAAACCTCCTCCCCAGCTTTTTTCTTTAAACAAAACAAGTAATTTAACTACTTCTTTTTCAGCTATCCTTGCTCTGAATTCTCCGCTGCACCTTTACCTTAAACCAAAACGGACCCCATACAAGACTTATTATTAAGCTCTGTTTCCAGGAGACTCACAAGTGGCGTTTCGCGGTCAGGACCGGGAGCAGTAAGGCCCCCCAGTTTTCAGACCCTTGTCTCAGCATTTCGTAATGTCTCAGTTCTAGGGTTAAGAAGAGGAGCCCAGAAAACTGGGCCTGAGAGGGCAGAGCCAGGGCCTAGACCGCTGCACGATCCCCGAGGCGGCTCCGGAGGTGGGGAGGAGGTAGGAGGCACCGAAAACCGGACCCTGGAGGCCAGGAGTGTCCACATAAACGAGGAGGCACTCGGACTTGGAGCGCAAAGCTCGGGACCCCCTTTGCTGCCTCCTTTACCCTCCCCTCCCCCATGCTGGAGAAGCAGGGCCCAGGCCCGGTGCGGGAAGGGGGAGGAGGTAAACTCGTCCTGTCACTGCACCGAGAGACGGGAAGAAGCACATGTTTTACGGGGAGAGGCCGCGGTGGCCCCTGCCCCAACCTCTAAAGCCAGACACCACCTCTAACCCCACAGTTCCGTCCCCTCCGCCTCACCAAGTCGTAGTCCTCCTCATCATCGCACATGAAATCATCCTCCATGTCAGACATCTTGGCCGGGAGGGGGGGAGAGGGAGGAGAAATTGGAGACAACCTCCTCCCACAATGCTCCACGGCTCAGAGGCGTCACTCGCAGCTTCTCCTCGCCTTCCCGTCGCTCTTAGAGGAGCAGAATGTTTCCTCCCGGAACAAATGCGCTCGGTATCGGGAGGATTCACTACGACGCCAAAAGGGAGTGCACTGCCCCTTCTTCCTGCGAGGCGGTTGGTGCCTTAGCAACTAAACCTAGCAACTGGGGAATCGTCTAGTGCTGAGGATCTCCGCCGAAGGGCCTTGGAAACCTTGAGCTCACACTGAGCAGTTTCCAGCCTCCTGGGCAAGGGAACAGTCTCTTCCCTTGCCTGGGACACTGGAACCATTTCATTCTGGTGAAAGTAAGAGGCACCGTAGGACCAGAAGCCTTTCGCGGAGAAAAGGCTGACATGCCCGTCCTATTTGACAGGTAGTAGTATTTCTGCTTCATCTATTTGCCATTTTGCCCACATATTGTGGTGGGTATTCCTGTGATGTTTGGAGACCTTTTTAGCGGCACGGTTTACACCTAATGCGTGTTTGTAGTCGGCAAAACGATACTGTGGCTGTCCCACACCGTTAAGCATCAATCAATTGAGGCGCCTAAAGTCTTATTCAGTTGTTCAACAGGTTATAAACTGACCTTTACTGCCCTTACCCGAAATTAAGGTAACAGTAAACGACTGGTTTTTAAAATATGCATTATTGTTGCACAAAATCATTAGCAGAATTCAGAATGAAAAACACGAAATACAAGGGGAAAACTGCGTTTCAAACAGCACTTTGAATATAAACTTCCAGTTCTGTTCACTTGAATCCACAAATTTTATATAGTTATAGCACAGATATAATTTCGGATTATTTTTACACCAAGTTATGTAACAACACCGGACAATATATTGGGGGTCCCATTACATGGGACCGTATATTCTTGGCAATGATCATTTTAATAGTTGGGTGATAATCCCTTCGTTGAATGTACCAACTCATAATGATTTACTTAAGCATGCCATTATTGTTACACATTTAGAATATTGCAAAACCAGTATTATTTTAAACAATTTTGCTGCTAATATATTTGTCAGTTTATTTTTTTCTTAGGAAAAAGCCCAAGAAGAGGAATTACAGTCTGGATTTTTTAGTAATCCATTGAATTGTGATCTTTTTGGTTATAGTTCTTAAAAGTTATATTTATAACAATGATACTGCCTACCTATAAACAAAGTTTTTCCCTAATAGTCTTTTCCTCTCACCGTTTTATTGTGAGAATTTCAAACATACAGAAAAACTGAAAGAATAGTCCAGTGAATATGTGTGTACCCACTATCAGCTTTGTGTTTGTGTATATATTCCCTGAATCAATGGAAAGTAAAATGCAGATATCATGATACATCACTCTTAAGTGCATCTATGTATATGTCCTAAAACCAAGGACATTTTCTTATGTTTTCAGATTATTACATCAAGAAAATTAATAATTCCCCAATGTCTTCTACACTTGATCTTAGCCAAAAGGCTGAGAAGCGATCCCCAATGTCTTCTAATACCAAGTCCATATTCAAAATTCCCCTGTAAGACATAGGATTTTTGAATTGGAAGAGCCTTTAATGATATCACTTTAGGGTCTAAGGCTTTCCAATCATGGCAGTTCATTAGATTATAACTTCCCAAATCCCATACCAGAGATTCTGATTCAGTAGGTCTGGGGTAGAGCTTAGGCTCTATACTTGTAAACCTTAAAACAAACCAAAAAAAAAAAAATCTCCCTATAACTGAGGTGACTTTACATCCTAGTTTTCTGAGACAGCCCTGATTTAGTACTGCTGTCCCAGAATAATAATTGTCATCCATCACTCTCAGAAGTTTGAACCGTAAGTCACATGGTTACTTTACCTGAAATCCATAATTCTTCAAAAGAGAAAATAGAATTCCAAGGTGGCTAAGAGGTTTATTTGCTCAGAGTAATCAGAACTACATTGTTGTGCTTTCTATTTGTATAGCAATTTTGCAATTATCTGTTAACCATGTACATAGTGATCACATGAATAAAACTGCATGTTTATTTACATTGAATTTATTGATATAATTTTCTGCTTTTAATGTAATTCTTTACTTTTACAATGGAAAAATAATTATTCAACTTAAGTTACTGACTAGGAGCACTAGAAAAACTGCAGCTAAATTTTGAGCATAATATTCTTAGTCATTTACAAATTTAACCAACCCAGTCTGGAAATTTTCTAAGACAGAGAAAAAGGTTTTCACAGTGCTTGGGGACACAAGTCCTAAAGAAATGTTTGTTGAATGAATAAATGTTAATTTTTCTTTAAAAAGTTTTAAATCTTTATATATTTATTTATTTTAACATTTATTTATTTTTGAGAGACAGAACACGAGCAGGGGGCAGGGCAGAGAGAGAAGGAGACACAGATCTGAAGCAGGGTCCAGGCTCTGAGCTGTTAACACAGAGGTGAACATGGGGCTTGAACCCACAAACCTTGAGATCATGACATGAGCTGAAGTCAGATGCTTTACCAACTGAGTCACCCAGGTGCCCCATGTTTATTTATTTTTTGAGAGAGAGAGAGAGAGAGCGCGTGAGCAGGGGAGGGCAGAGAGAGAGGGAGACACAGAATCCAAGAGAGAGAGAGAGAGAGAGAGAGAG